GACTCACCCATGTTGCTACAAATGACAGGATTTCATTTATTTTTATGGCCAAATAATATTCTATTGTGTGTATATACCACATTTTCTTTATGCATTCATCTGTTGATGGACACTTGGATTGATTCCATGTCTCGGCCATTGTGAATACTGATGCAATAAATATGGGAGTGCAGGTATATCTTCGACATACTGATTTCTTTTCTTTTGAATATTTATTCAGTAATGAGTTTGCTGGATCATATGGTATTTCTATTTTTAGTTTTTTTGAGGGACCTCCATACTGTTTTCCATAGTGGCTGTACTAATTTACATTCCCACCAACAGTGTACGAGTTCCCCTTTCTCCACATTCTCACCAGCATTTATTTTTTGTCTTTTTGATAATAGCCATTTTAACTGGTGTGAGATGATATCTCCTTGTGGTTTTGATTTGCATTTTCCTGATGATTAGTGATGTTGAGCACTTTTTCATATATCTGTTGGCTATTTGTATGTCTTCTTTTGAGAACTGTCTGTTCAGATCCTTTGTCAGGGTCTTCAATCTTGATCTTCCATTTAATCCAGGTTGTTTACCATCTTACCTGTTACTGTGTTTATATTACTAGCTTAATCAAGGCTTTGATCCTATGTGAATGTTTTGTTTTCTTGGCATACAGAAAACTGCTTTTATAACCTAGACCCGTAGCCACTGGGAGGAAGCACTGCTCTAGAGAATGAAATCGTAAACTGCTCTAGTTCTAGAGAGTGTAGAAGTTTTCCAGCAAGCAGAAGTAAACCTCTGAGGAGCGGTTGAGCTGTGATGGGAAATAGCAACACTTCCTGAGTCATGTCTTCATGGTTTAACATCGTTCTGTTTTAAATGAATTATTCTAAGAGCAGATGCATTTATTCAAACCCAACTATAAAAATATGTTTCAGGGAAAATAAGAATGGTTTTTGGATTAGCCATTTTTGGCTTCTATCATTATAAAACAATGGGCTGACTTTAGTAGGCACAGAACAATTAAATTGCTGTGAATAGTTATTTACAGAACTCTTCTAATCAAATATGTCTATTATCTCTTATAAGTGCTGAGTGTTTCAGAAATATTGCTCTGAAATCTCAACAATGGAAAAATTCAAATTATCATTTTATTCTTACGTGTTCATAAGAAAAGAGTGTTTGTAATGGAAGAAGATAATGGATAAAGATGACTTCAAATAAAATACCAATGGACTGAAGGCAAATTTCAACCAAGATTCTGTTAAATCTCTTGTATCCTCAATAAGTCCATATAACTATTAATGATTGTTGCACCCAATAGCAACCCCCACAGTAAGATGACATGTGAATAGAGAAAAATTATATTATGGTCAGCACATCTTTAGTGATACTAAATCTCTTATTGTCTTTCACCTCTCAGAAATTGGTAATAGAAACTACCACAGTAAGATGACATGTGAATAGAGAAAAATTATATTATGGTCAGCACATCTTTAGTGATATGTAAATCTCTTATTGTCTTTCACCTCTCAGAAATTGGTAATAGAAACTAGGTTCATCAGAACAATCAGAAAAACAAAGTATTACCAAATCATTCCCAGTCACCAGTATACATTTGTTATATGTGCCTTCCTTTTGGATTTTTCTCTTGAGGATATTACGCTTAGTAAAAATATCTATACAATCACATAATGAAAGAAACTGAAAAGTCCATGTTGACTTTCTTTCTAAGTAATTCGTTCCTTACTTTTGACTTAATAAAGATGATTCCCCTTTTTTCAAATCATCTCAGCACACTTTGTACATAAATCCAAATTCTGGCGGCTGGGTTAATATAGAATACATAGAAAAGCTGGAAACTGAAAACTTCTCAGTCATTATTAACTAATTATGGTTGAGAAGAGAAATAGTAAGATTTCTCCTTTGGTATGTTGAGGACTGATCACCTCTGATTTATCTTAAACAGCCTAGAATTATAAATTTTTCTATGGAAAAAAGGATAGCGGTAGCCTTGAACGTCTGTGATTTATGTAGCATTTGACTTAAGTTTATCAAGCTGTAATAGTTCACAGTTTAAGCACTACTCATTACCACCAAGAAAATCCAGAAAATATAGCATCTTTTAATTTGAGACCTCTAAGTTGGCCGTACATGGAAATGTCAGGAGAGTTCTGTGATGATCACATGCCATAGGCTTCTAAGGATGTGGTACAATGGAATGAACCCTCCCATTTCATTGACAACATGTGTTACATATTATTATGGTTCTGGTCTCCGGATTTTAATTTCTTGATGACAGGATCTATATTTGGGGGAAAGAATTGTTTAGGCTAACTTTCTGTGTAATAATTATTTGGATTAAATGATTATTTTCCATGCAAATCTAAATAAGATGCAGACATTGTGGGTGCCAAAGATTTCTGTGTGAATTGGGAGTCAGAATAACCAAGGAGCCTGTTCTGTGTTAGTGAGAAAGCATCTCTTGGAGACTAACACATATACATATTCGAAGCAAGACTTGGGTAAATGTACTGGTTGAACATTGATGACTCAAAACCATTGTCACAACCAGATGTGCATCCCTGCAATCCATGTAGCAAACAGTGGGGGTGGGGTGGGGTGGGCATTTCAAAACTCTCAATTGCTATGATTGTTTGAGAACCATAGACAAAGAAGCATTCTACCTCGACGTTATTCTGATAGAAAATAGGTGATTGTCTCAAATCATTTTCCCTTAACTTTGTCCAAACTTGGAAATTACCCTTACATATTTCTTTTCTTATCTCTTTTTTTAGCTTATGCAAGTAGCAGTGTAATAAAAGGTCCCAGACCTTCAGAATGAAAACCCAAGTTAATTTCTTCCTGGAATATGCTGCTTTAGAAAAAAATATTATTTTCTTTCGTACTCTAAAATGTACTGTGAAAGCACCACCCTCTTTTACTTACAGTGATTTCATCAATAGATAAGATGTTGAATTTTAAAAGGCATTTTACCTTTTTACAATATACAAATGATAGTAGTTCCAGTGACTTGATGGTAATTGTAGTCTGGAGCATCCAGATTCTCTCTAGTCATCTTTTAAATATTTTCTTTTTCTTTCTTTGCTTGCCTTTTAATCCTGTAGGTATTCCCACGGTTTATGCTCTTCTCTTAGAGCTGAGAGTTTGATCTCATCCCATCTTATTTCCATTTCCCTTTCTCTTGGTTTATACCCTGAGACAGTTTGGGAAAGGCAAATTCTTTGCCAAATTCTTGGGCTTTGCCTGTGGCAAGGCTCCATGAACACCCACAAAGTAAATATTTTCTTTTTCTTTCTTTGCTTGCCTTTTAATCCTGTAGGTATTCCCACGGTTTATGTTCTTCTCTTAGAGCTGAGAGTTTGATCTCATCCCATCTTATTTCCATTTCCCTTTCTCTTGGTTTATACCCTGAGACACTTTGGGAAAGGCAAATTCTTTGCCAAATTCTTGGGCTTTGCCTGTGGCAAGGCTCCATGAACACCCACAAAGTAAAACCACTGCTGGGAAAGGAAAGTAGACAATCCTTCTTTTGAATCCTTGTTGTTTGTTGTATAAACTTAGAAGTGAGGAATAGCAGTCAGGCTGGAGAACATAAATTGTAGTAGTGTCAGGAGGATCTTTCAATACAGCTGTTCGTGGTCGGTGTAAGGAATAGGTGCATGGTGCAAATTGTGCGACTTTATAGCAGACAAATAAATGAGAAGCCAAATCAGGAGAAGACACAGAAAGAGAATGATCCCTCATTGAACATGATGTTTGTTGCTAACATTTCTGTAATTACCTCAAACATTATTGCTTTTTTGAGCCTTGAATAATGGTTTCTACTCAAAATGAATGAAGGCATGGGAAGCATGTTGGCTAATGCATGCTTCTTCCCCAGATGAAATTTTATTTTTTGTAAAATGACATTGTAACAATCCTCCTCGCAAGCTCTTTTTTAAAAGTGTTGCGAAGGAAAGCTAAGAAGTCCATGGTTTAAGGACTGGATTATGATGCTGTAATTCAGCAACTAAATGTTTTATGCAATCTTTGCATTCCCACTTGCAACTCACTTTATCTTAGTGATTAATAAACTTCCTTTTGCATTACTGTAAAAGCTAGGGCTTATTGGTATGATAGTTGGTTGGACTTACTATGTTACAGAAGGACCTGATTTGGCTATTAGGGCTACCAACAGCTTACTTTTGGTGTGTCATTTGAAAGCATTTTCTGAGAAAAGTAAACTTCCATTTTTAAAATCTGTCATTTAAAGGGCTGGCCCTGTGGCTCACTTGGGAGAGTGCGGCACTGGGAGCGCCGAGGCCGCAGGTTTGGATTCTATATAGGGATGGCCGGTGCGCTCACTGGTTGAGCGTGGTGCAGACCACACTGTGCAGAGGGTTGCGTTCCCCGTCAAAAAAAAATCTGTCATTTAAAGGGCCGGCCTGTGGCTCGCTCGGGAGAATGTGGTGCCGAAAAAAATCTATCATTTAAAAATGTCTGCAGTATCTTAAGTTTGCCTGCAAAGAAAGAGGCAGAGCAGTGCTGATGCTCTTCTTTCCTATCTTTAATACTTTTCCTGTCATGTTTTCAGTCTGGTTGTGACCAACTAATATTACAGCTGTTTTCTCCAGGTGTTGTGTGTGTTGACTGAAGGCCTTTTCTCCTGTCAGGAAACAATGTCATGAGGACCATCCACGGGGTGGGAGAGATGATGACCCAGATGGTGCTCAGCAGAGGTTCCATCTTCCCCATGAGCGTGCCTGACGTGCAGCCCAGCATCCTCCCCAGCAAGCAGGGGAACCCTACTGAGCACGAGGACGTGACCGTGATGGACACCAAGCTGAAGATTATTGAGATTTTACAGGTGTGTTGGATAATAGAAACTAAGTGATCAAGACATCATTTTGCTGATTGGCTTAACTTCTTACACTTTTTGTTCCAATTCACTGTGTAAATACTCTGAAATGCTATTGATCTTATTTTATTTTTTTAAACTTAATGGCAAGCCTGGTAAGAAATCTCATGCAGATACTATTTTGCATGTTAATCATGTTTGTTCATCCCCATTAAATATACTAATGGTAATATCTAGCAATTGTGGAGTACTTTCAAGTTGATAAAACCGTTTTCACATGTATTTTTTTCATTTAGTATTGACCTTGATTAAATTTTATCTTCATTTAAGAAGGATTTCAGAAAAGACAGGCTTAATAATTGAACTCCAACTCTTTCCTCTTTTTAATTGAATCAGACATATGATTGCATGTATTCAGGTTTATTGTTGTAGCAAGAAACTCAAATAAAGTTTTATTTTTTATTAACAAAAGTTGTTAATCATTGGTTTTAATGTTCTTTGTAAGTGACTATCTCTCTTCATGTTTTTGTCCGAGGGTCTAGAAATAATTTTTTTGAAAAGTTAACCTTGTCTAATACCTAGCTCTATGAATTTAAAGGAGATAAATTATTATTTCATGCCAACTGGATTAGTGAATAAACTTTCCATTACTGTAGCAATGAATTCTTAGCACTGTTTTTCTTTTTAAGTTTGGAAAGCAGTTTTATGATACCTTAATTATAGCATTTTTTCCAGATTTAGAGAATGGAGCTTGGAGTTTTCAAGGATCTATTAAGATTCTGATACAGTTTACTAAGTCTTTCACCATAATTTAATGTAGACTGAGCTACCAGAAGTGGGTTAGTAGTCCTGGAAGGGTCTGTACATTTTTCATTTAAAGTAATTAGATTTATAATCATAAAAGGTTTTATAATTCCTCCAGGAATTCCAAAGGCTGAATCCTGAAAAATATTGGCATGTTTCCCAACACTGTGTTCATGACCCTGAAAAATCACTTAAAGTTTTCCCATTCTTCAACTAAGAAAGGTGGCAATCACCTGACCTGTGGACCTAATGAGCCCCAGCTTAACTCCGTCCTCATCGTGGGACAATCTCTAAAATATGTGACCTCATTTTAGCCCACAGTTACAGAAAAGGAACATTTAAAAAAATAAAAAAAAAACCAACCTCAAACAGCTAAAAAATGATGAGATGGAGATTGTATGGCTCAGCAGTCTAGGGCCGATGCGTTTTTGCTGCCTCTTTTGGGCTCTTTATGTATTCTCGTTGAACCTCTTTTGCTCTCTGATTTTTGAGCCCCTGTGTCTGGGTCTGTTTCACTGTGCCTGTGTGCTGCTCTTGAATATGTGTCTTTCTTGGAAGGTCTCTTCAAGAATTTCTTTGTAGCACGCTCCTTGGCAAGTCTGCTTTCTGCCAGCTCTTCTCTCTCAGGGTCTTCCTCTCTTTTTTGGTTTCTCTCTTTTTATTTCTCCCTCATTCTCTCTCTATCTGGCCCTCTTTCCACTCTTTTTCTCTGCCCTCTTTTTTCTTCCCTTTCGTCCTTTCCTTCACCTTTCATTCGTTTTTTTGTAATTAGACATATTAGAGAATGGAAGTTTTAATTTTGGTTATATTTATGAACTACAACTCTATGTGTACTAATCTTCAACTAAAAGTGAATAAGTGTTTCATTAGTTTGTCTTATTAATTTGTTCTTTACAAGATTTTTTTAAAAAACTGAACCCTTCTTTGATAAGCACCTGCTAGCATCTTCTCCCATCCTTCTGCTCAAGGCTACTAAATCCGAAGGTGCTTTCTCAGTCCTCTTTTCCCACAATCTGTTTCCTGCTTTGAAAATCTCCTTATTAACTAGAATCAGTTCAATTGATATGGGCTGCAGCAGTCACCACATATTAATACAAGAGTCTCTTTGGTGTTTGTTTTTCTCTATAGACTGTAAGCTCTTCAAAGGTAGGGCTTATATCCTTGGCCCCTTTTTTTATACCCTTGATTCCTTCCTCAGTACCTGGTTTAACAAATGTTTGTTGAACTTAACCAAATGTAGCTGACATGGAGCATGTTCTCTGCTCATAAGGAGTGTAAAGGTCTAGCAAAGGAGAGAGAGAGAGTTAACAAATGTTTGTTGAACTTAACCAAATGTAGCTGACATGGAGCATGTTCTCTGCTCATAGGAGTGTAAAGGTCTAGCAAAGGAGAGAGAGAGAGAGAGAGAGACAGAGAGGGAAGTGAGGGGGAGATGATTCAGATTTTGAATGGGGGACCAGTGAAAGCTTCATTATAAAATGGGCTTAAACTGGGCCTTGGAGGATTTCCCCAAAACTGATTTTTGGGGGGTGGAGGAGAAGAATATTCAAGGTAAAGTGGACGAGGTGACCACCGTGAGGAGGCAAGAGAGAAGCTGCAGGCGTTCCAGTGCTGTTGGAACAGAGGGGTCCGAGAGAGACTGAGGCAGGGCGGGGACCGGAGGAGGGGTGTGGTGCTCGTGGCATGTACAGTGAGAGGTAAGGTTACATGCCACGAAATGCCAATTTTCCTAAAACTCGGGTGACCATATTGTTTACTGTCAAGTGAGAATCTTTTGAGAGTGGAGGGGCACCATTAATAGTTACGCTGAGACAAAAGGTTAAACTGAGCCTGTCTCAAGCATATTGGGGTGGAAGGTAACTATGTAAAAACCACTCCTTTCACCTGCAGCACATCTGACTTTTTCTTCTCTCACCTCCATTGTATTCTGTACCACATGATTTAGCCCTCAGTAATTTCCTAATTAGGTTAAAATGCTATATTTTGTTTTCCTGACTTGATTATGGGTTTCTTGAGGGCAGTGGGCTTCAAGTGTTTGCATTCCCCTGTGGTAACTAACACAGTTGGGAGCCTTATTGGGTACTTAGGTTATGTCGTGTGTCTATTAATGAGAACAACAGCAGTAACGCAAACCTAAGGAAACACAAAGACCAGTGAGAAATATCCTGGGTATGTAGGTGCTGTTCTTTCAGCTGTCTTTTTATAGTCTAGCTCCAGGGCTGATCATGGTATATCTGTATTTAGCACAAGTATAGCTGAAATTTCAGTCTTTCTGTGCAAGAATGAGGGTCACAGCTCCAGCATCCTACTTGCAGAGCCAATGGCGACTCTGAAGTGCTCAGCAGAATTCAACATTGTTACCTGTTCCCCATAGGATACCTCTGCCTGGAATATTCACAGAGCAGTCATGGGGAGTCAAATTTTTCCTGTTTCCAAATCATGGGAAGTCAGATTTTTCTTGTTTCTTGCTTTGGGATTTTACTGACATTTGATAATACATCCCTTTCCTTAGTCTTGAGTCTGATAAACATGCAGGCAACTGAAGTGGTAAGAGTTTACAAATAAAGTTTCTAACTAGTTCATGTAAAGGTTGATAGTGATGTTGTTCTTTTTTACATTTTTTCAATCTTAGGATGGGCACCACTTCCATCCCTTAATTTTTTTTTTTAAATTTTAGTTTATCAATATACAATGTAGTTGATTTTAGTGACCCTTTACCAATTCCTTCTTTTCCCCCTCCCTTTCCTCCCTCCCCCCATCAACATCGTATCTGTTCACTTGTCTTAACAAGTTCAAGGAATTGTGATTGTTGTGTTTTCTTTTTTCCCCCATCCCTTAATTTTTTAAATTAATTTTTTCATCTTTATCTTGCCCTATGGCTCATTAGTCACCCCATCCCCCTCCAATTCTTTCTTAACCCCCCCCCGCCCCCCCATCAAGCCTTCCAGGCATCAATGTAAAGAAATCAGCTTTGTTCCTTCACTGGAGAAGATACAGGTTTCTCTGACTACTATAGCCGCGCTAAAACAATCTCCCAGGAACAATCTTTTATCTAATACTCATTTAAGATGTCAGAAAAGAACAGTCAACTTCAGAGGTTCTCTGTCCCAAGACTTAGAGTTTCAAACCAGAGCTCAGAAATTATTCCCCAGCTTCAAAGGAGACAGTGTGGAACAGGGGTAAAGAGCCTGGGTGATGTTTTTCTTGATGTTGTGTAATGAATTGCATTCTTAAATACTGTGCTAATCAAAGAAAATTATGTTATTTTTATGTTTCTTATAGTTTATCCTGAGTGTCAGACTAGATTACAGGATCTCATATATGCTGTCAATATATAAAAAGGAGTTTGGAGAGAACAATGAAAATGCTGAGACATCTGCCAATGGCTCTCCAGATACTTTATTACCATCAGGTATCTCCTTTGTGACAATATTTACTCTTTGTAATTTGTTTTCCTGGGAACTTGAAAGTACCTTTCATATTTTAAAGCATAATAGTATTTCTATGAGAAAAAAACGTAGACATGGTCTCTACTAGTGACATGAAAGAACTGAGACAGAGCATTAAATAACTTGCCTAGAATGGCAGGGTATTTGCTGTCATTGGGGGCTAAGTCCTATGAGTGACTTTTCCTTTGTAATCTTCACAACTCTATGAGGTGGTGCTGTTTATTGTGCCATTTTACAGATGAGAAAACTAAGGTCAGGGGGTTGGTTAAGTTACTTGCTCAAGGTCATGAAAGTAGTGGAAGAGAGATTCCCTCTGAGTTCTCTCCAACTCCAGAGTCTGAATCTTTTAAGCCTTATGCCATTTTAGTGAAAATCTAAGAGAAAAATTTCAGCCTGGATCAAAGAGTACTGTGAAATGCAGCTGTCAGAAGGAAAGGTGTTTTGTAAGGAAGCCATCACCTGATTCAAGAATAAAGACATATGTGGTTACCAGAGGCTGGGAAGGGAAAGGGGGTGGGGGAAGGGAAGAGGTTGATCAATCAATGGGCATAAGTTACAGGTAGATATGAAGAATAAGTTCTGATGTTCCGGGGTGACTACAGCTAATACTGTTGTGTTGTATACTTCTAGATAGCTTGAAGAGAGGACTTGAACATAATCACCACGAATAAATGATATATGTTTAGGTGATGGATATGCTATCTGTCTTGAGTGGATCATTATGTTATATATGCATGTACTGAAACAGTACACTGCACCCCATAATTATGTACAATGAAAAATAAATTTTTTAAAAAAGAGTAAAGACATGGCATTCCGCAAAGGCCTGAATGTGGCTGTCACTTTTGTTGTGTGTTTGTGTGTGTGCGTGTTTACTTTGTATGGTTATAAACTGGAACTGTATTTCAGTTTTCACGTTTAGAAAGTGTAAGAATGAAGCTGCTCTGTCACCGAGTGTTGGAGCATAACAACAAAAGAACACAAACTTAATTGTAGAAATTTGTGACTGTAGAAAAAACTTTATGAAAACTAACAAATATTAAATTACCATTTTTCTGGATAGGTCAGGCCAGCCATGGCAGGCTGGAAATGACATCTTATTAAAAATTTAGCCGGTTAACAGAATTCTTTTTCTGAGGGTAAGATTTGTATACAGATATGAAACTTTCTTCTAACTGCAACCACTGTGACAATGTAAGGAACTCTTCTCTCCTTTGTCTATCACTCCATTTAACAGAAATGATTCAGTGATTGCGAGTGTGTCAAGTAGATACTAGACCAAATGTCCACGTTGTGAATCATTAGTACCATCCACAAGGCAGCACGCCTCTACAGATGGAGCTCAGCTTGCCTACGCCAGAACTCGCTTCTGTCACATTTGCAGCAGTTTTGTTTTTCTGTTTCTCAGAAGTACAGAACCCCAAAGGGCTATTTCCAGGAATGCTATGGCAGAACCAGAAAGTGTTGCTGGCGGATGCATTGACAGTAGCATAAAAATTATTGACTCCCAGAAGCCAGACTTCTGGAAACATGAGCTCTAAGTGTCAGTAAAGTACCAGAGGGAAAGTCTAGGGAAACCCCAGAAAACCCTTTCTCTCTGATTTACCTGATCTCTTCATTGTTTGTATCTGTAAAGGATAATTTCAGGGGAGAATTGTTTTTTCTTTTTTATGTCTTGCTCTGTTTTGCTTTCTAGCTTTCTTTCTTTTTTTTTTTTTTTACTTTGGAGATGAGAAATAAATAGTACATTTATCATTTAAACATGTTATTTTAATAAACATATCTTCAAAATGTTAGTGGTGGGGAATGGTGAGGAGTTGTGATTGTTTCACATAGGCAACCCCCCCTCCCAAAACCCACGCTGCCCCACAAGAAAAAGGGATGTAAATTTAGGAGTATGATGCTTAGGTAAAAAGTCCATGTTGTTTGGAAATACCAGATAGTAACAGGCTCATTATAGGTATGTTTTGGTTCTTTAGAAAAATTTTCCTTCTATGTCATTACCCATTTAAATTATATGTATGTATGTGCGTGTGTGTGTGTGTGTGTATGATGCATATGTATAGAGACACACATATAGGTAAGAGGCACCTTTGTAAATGGTGCTTTCTGATTACTTAAATATAACTTTGACTACAGCAATACATTAGTTTAAAAAAGTTTACATTGAAAAACATAACATTGTGGCTCTTATTAAGATAAGATAAAGAATGGCTTTTACCATTTTTCTTTGCAGCTATTGTTCCTGATATAGATGAAATTGCAGCTCAGGCAGAAACTATGTTCGCTGGAAGGTATGATAACATTCATGTATCTTTATCGTACTTGTGAATAAGATTTTACTTAGAATTTTACTGATACTTTGTTATTGTTCACCTGCCTGTATCTATTTATTTTTAGACGTGTATTTTTGCTAACATAATTTCTACCAGAAATGAAGCTGCTAATTTACTGTAGAGGGGAAAGCATAGCTTTTCTTTAGGTCAGGTAAAAAGAAAAGGACAGGAGAGATGAGATCAGTGTATTGAACTTTTCCCTGAATTCTTTGCTTTTCTTTCCTCAGATAACAACAGCACAAGAATGCCCTTTAACTCCCCTGGTATAAATATCACTGCATCTTGTAAAACATTGCTTCTCTGAATCTTAGATATCTGATGCAAGAAAGGAACTTCTTTTAATGTTGTCATTAACTTTATATGTGAGAAATAAGGCTATTTTCTGCCAATTGGAAATATCCATGGTTAAAGAAAATGAAATGCCTTTGGTATGATTACCTTCCTTTGTTATCAGGAGCCCTGCCATTTATGTTTTTAGGGTTGTTTCCTTCTTTTTTTCAGAAATGAAACAAATAGCAATTAAAAAGAAAAAGTAAAATAAGCTACAAATTATTGAGTTTCTGGTGTTCATTTTTATTATAGACTTGACACAAGAAGCTGAAAAAAGTCTGTACTAAGCTTTTTATTGCATTTGTTGGTGTTATTATTAGAAAGATAAACAAGAATTAAAAATTAAGGGAACCAAAAAGGATTTTTATCTCTAGTAAATGTTTGGTTTAGCTTTGTTTTTATATTGTAGTACCAGTTTTTGTTGTTGAGTTTTCCTATTGAAGTATTTCATTATTTCCTGGAAGAGAGAATAAACCAGTATATCATTTCACCTTAAAATAGATGGACCTTTTATTCCAATGGACTCCTATTCGGAGTCCACATATACCACACATACAGTGCTGTTCTGATGATGGGTCACACACATGTGCACTGCCCTTCTCCAACCCTCCCCACCTGTCAGGTAGGGGTATCTAGGTCTCTGGGGAAAATCAAGCATTGGTGTATGGCATCCAGCCTGTTATGTCTTCTCAATAGATGATTTTGGATTGATTCAAATGCCTATTTTTTGTTTATGTCTGGGTGACCAATTCATCCCAATCTGCCTAGAAATCCCTTCAGCCTTGAACAAACTAGGATGGTTGGTCACCTTTGCTTTCATAGACAAACATAAGTTTTTCTTTGTGATTGTTTTCTCGTCAGTTACATGAGGG